GTTTACATATGTAAACGAGTAATAAATGGGGTCACGGGTGTCTGCAACTCTTATTTTGTGGGTTGGAAGAAAAAAGGTTTGAAAACCACTGATGTGGAGAAGTGACCAACGTGTGTGACAGCTTTCATCCTCAGCTGTTGACAAAAATGTTCATCAATAACATTTAAAGAACTAAATCAGTGCTTTTAAATTTAGCAAGTGCTAATCCACTAATGAATTAAGAAATTAGCAAAAGCTCTAAAACACTAATCAGAAAATTAGTTCCCCTATTAGTGCTTTAGTGGAACTGTGCCCACATCTGACATCTAATAACTATAAAAAAACTGGGTTAAATTTTGCGTCGCACAAAACCATTATTTGACACACCATTTACGTTGAAAAAAGTAGAAATTAATTTAAAAATGAGTTAATATTTTATCAAAGTAGGCTAATAATTACAAAAATAAACATTAGAGCAGAAACCCAATACTTGCATAATGCAAAAGAAAAACAAAATCCTATATGAAACTTTTTGATCACCAGAGGTTTTGCCAGTGTAGGACTGAACCCAAAATGCAAACAGGACTTTAAAAGCTTCAGAAAATAGAAAGAAATAAAAAGTTGAATGACTGCAGCTGGAACTGCAGCATGTTTAGAGGGTGGAAGTGCCTTTTTTAATGCTGGAGCTGAAGGTGTGCTGCATTCATCTAGACCAGAGGTGCCCAAAGTGGGGCCCACGGGCCAAAATTGGCCCACCAAACCATTTCATTTGGCCCACCAGCAGTTGTGCTTGTTATTAGATTGTAATCTCCTATGTAGAAACACTATATTTCCACGTTTTATTGAAGTCAGATAATCTTACCCCGTGGTTTTCACACTATCTTTGAATTATTTTAAGATTAAACATAAAATACAAGTAACTACAAGAGACATTTAGATTAGATTTAAGCACACACCTAGATTTGCACACCTTATGCTCATACTACACTTGATTTATCAAATTTTAATTTATGAAAAGTCTCATGAGCCTTTGCTGCCCGAGCATATGTTGAATTTTCTCCATGTCCATGGGCTGAAAAAAGAAAAAGAATGTGGGCCACTGCACTGGTGAAGCTGGACGAGCGGGGCATGCCGTGATTGTAGGAGTACCCTTGTTTCGGCGATGGCGTTTACGTGGTTGACTTAAAGAGTTACTAGAACCCATAAACTTAAATATCACAAGACTGAGCCCCGCCCATACCGTACACTGGTAGCATCTGTGACAGCATGGAGGAGCAGAAATGGCGTCTAAAAGGGCAGCAGCTCACAAAGCAAACTGAACCGGATCTGTTTCACAGATTATCGGTCATATTTTTACAATAAATTAATAATTATGTTAATTTCATTCAACAATCATGTGAAGTGAAAAGATGGCGGCGGTGGCAGATGTATGTAGCTGTGCAGTATCGCTGCAGGAAAATACAGTATATCCCATTTGGCTTTACAGGCATCTGCAGGTCTGTTTTTGACCAAATTTACCTCAGCTTTTGTGTTGCTGTTACTC